GTAATTATATTAAACCTATATAATTTCTAGAAAAGATAGAAAAAATAATAACAAATAAACAATTAAAATAAGTTCAAAACTATGTTAATAATGGAAAGGGGTTGAAGAGTATCAATAAATAAATAAAATTATTAATAAAAAATTAATTAAAAATAATAAATATAATTTTTTTTCTAAAAATAATAATAAAAAAGAAAACCACTGCATCAACCCATCAATCCAACAAGTTGATCCAAACACGACTTGCGAGCCATACGAATTATTAATAAATTACAAATTGAGATATATATACCTTAACTAGTTTTCATAAGTTGGGTTGGGTTAGGTTAGTACCGAATTAATGAATCCGGGTTGCTTTCTGCCACCCCACCCCTAGACAGTCGGTGCATTTATTCAACCCAATAGACTGTATCTAATTACTTAATTTCTCCACAAGCACCTAGGTACATTGTATCTTCCTAGATTGCATTTTCATTGATACCATTAGTATAACACTGTGACTTTACTATTCCCAACATCTAATGCGTCCAAAATTGGGAATTACCATTTCGAACCATACTTTGCTTCAGAAGCTGGTTTGACCAACAGATTTTCTCCAGTGTGTTTGCTCAAGTCATGTTCGCAACTCAAAACAGATTGCAACTATGATATTGAGTTTTAATTGAAGGATGACAGTTATAGTTTAGCTATTATAAGATGTGAAAATTAATTGAATATATGGGTTTTAATACAAAATTTATATTTAATTTAAAATAAATTAATAATAAATAAAATAATTTTTTAATTATATTATTTTAATAAATTTTTATTAAAAAAATTAAAACTATAATTTTTAAAGGAGGAAGTACCACGTGTATATATATATATATAATACTACTGCAGCACGGGACCTGGCACAGGCTGTGGCATCTTGTCGCGGCATCCGGACGACTGCAGCATGGGGGCCACTTGGCCAGAACAGAGATGAGAGGGAGAGGCGAAGAGGGGGTCTGATTCAGATTTTTAGCCGAAAATGGGGTGTGATCGACCGACAGATCTCCGTTCCCTTTTTTATATTTTTTATTTTGCTTTAAACGGCGTCGTTTAAGGTGAGCCTTGCGCTTTAATCCATGACTTTCACTCATCTGCCTTTTTAGTCTCCATATTCTTCCCTTATCACATTTAAGTCCCAGCAAGATAGAACCTCCATTTTAATTTTTTTTTTTTTCA